CTCCATTTTCAGCAGCTTCGCTGAAAACCAGCCAGTCTGTTCGGTCAAAACAATCTCTCAGTATGGGGCCACTGTCCTGGATCCAGCATTTAACTTCCTTTTGTATCGGTCTGGAGCGTCTCAGCGGGGGCACGTAAGCAGGAGCCAGGAAGATTGAGATGTGGTCTGACAGTCCTAGGTGGGGGCGGGGTTGGGCTTTGTATGCATCTTTTACGTTCGTGTAAACACGGTCCAGCGTCTTGTCTCCACTTGTCGGAATTGTCACATGTTGATTAAAGCTCGGGAGACAGTCCTTTAGATTCACGTGGTTAAAGTCTCCGGCTACCATGTAAAGAGCCTCGGGGTGTTTGCTCTGCAGCAAGCTGATGATATCATGTAGCTCCTACAGTGATTCATTAGCATTAGCGTCCGGAGGAATGTAAACAACTGTGATAAAAGTCACCGTGAACTCTCGGGGTAGATAATGTGGCCGACATTTCACTGTTATTTGTTCCAAAGCCTTCGAGCATGAGCTATTTACAACAGTACAGTTCATGCACCAACTTTTACTCACGTAAATGCATACTCCGCCTCCCAGTGATTTCCCCGTTAGCTCGCTGCAGCGGTCCGCTCGAAAAAAAAGTCTGTCATCCAGCTGGAAGACTGTGTCCGGTATTTCGCTTATAATCCACGTTTCCATGAGGCAAAGCACCGCACACTTCTTCATCTCTTCTGAGGCGCCTGCTCTCAGACGAAGTAAATCCATCTTGTTGTCCAACGAGCGGACATTCGACAGAAAGAGAGACGGCATGGGGAGTTTACCGGCTTTAGCGTTAGCTCGTAGCCTCAACATAACCCCCGCCCGGCATCCTCTCCTCTTAAGCCGGGAGCAGCGCATCCTCTTCTGCCCACTGGAACGCCTCTGCTGCAGCTTCCAGGTAGATGACTTTAAGATCTGCATTCTGCCGAGCGTAGTTTTGAGTTTGTTGCTGATTTCTGCTATATTCCGTGGCAAATCCGCTCCTATTCTCATCAGTTCGGTTCGGCTATAGTTCACACGCATAAATCGCGCGGAGTCAGGCACAGAGTCAATATCAAAACTTCTAAAAACTGGGATGGTACCGGGAGCCTGTGAAGCTGCAACTGCTCTGAGAGCGGCCATCTTGTGTAATAAATCCAAACATACATATATATAATTATATATATATTTCTATATATATATATATATATATATATATATATATTCTTGATCTGGGACCTGAGTCTGAATTTCGTACCACAAACATACAAATTTGAGCTTGTATGACAATAAGAAATCCTTGAATCCTAAATCATTTTTCACATTGTCATAATGTCAAGTCAAGTCACATTTATTTATATAGCACATTTAAAACAGTAACTGTTATCAAAGTGCTTACCAAAAAAGATCACAGCATCAAATATTAATAACAATATATTACAGCAACATGAATAAAGTCATAAAAACATGAAATATAACGAGAAACAATGAAATACTAAATCAAATCACCCTTCGTTAAATGTCAGGGAGTAAAAGCAACTTGGATGAACACAATCATCACCAACGAAATACCAAATGAGATCACACTGTGTTAAATGTCAGTGAGTACAGATGTGTTTTGAGGAGCGATAATGTGGTATTGTGTGTAGAATTTTGAGCAAAGAGATCCATTTAATACTATTTGGAATAAGGCTGTTACCTAACAAAATGTGGAAAAAGTGAAGTGTTCTGAATACTTTCTGTATGCACTGTATACTGCAACATGTTTTTCCTACTGGAACCTACTGTGACCTCACTAGGACAAACAGCAGCAACTACCCTGCTGACTCTCTTAAAATGGCAGCATTGATGGACAATAACAAAATGGATTTTTTGGCATTTGAGAATAGATTCAAAATATTTTATGTCTGTGATTCATCTAAAATTGATTTTACCCCTCACCCTTCCTTCTGCATATTTCTAGTTGATACACTGACAAAACTTCTACTGATTATAGATAACGCATATTGTCTCCATCTCTAACCACTTTTCTGTGGGTGGTTTGAGGAGGCAACCGGTCCACTAGAGAAACCCAGGTATCTCTCTCCTCATTGACACTCCAATTCCTCCTGGGAGATCCCAAGGCATTCACAGGCCAGAGAGAATATATACCAGCAAGCCTTTCAGTGAGTTCAGGGTCTTTTTCCAATGGGACATGCCTGGAAAACCTTCAATAGGAGGTGTCCAAAAAGCATCCTAACCAGATGCTCGAACTTTGAATTGTTTCTTCAAAAATACCGGATTGGTGCAGTGTAGCTCTGCTGTAGGGATGGTGGTGGTTCTATTTGATGTGTTCATGTGCCACTTGAATAGTTGTACAGATTTCTTTGAGCCACAGCTAAAAGGGTAGTGCTAAATAAATAAACCCAAGCCTTACATACACCACACTGACTGAAGAACTAGTAATTGCAGAAAATGTCAGTTACATAAAAAAGCTAATGTTAGTTTTTGGTTACAACCAGCAGAGGGACGCAAAGTGTTTTACTTGGATGTTCATTCAACAATGTTAAATACAAAAACAACTGGACTTTATTAGTAACAGAAGACGTTTCGCTCCTCATCCCAGGAGCTTTCTCAATTCAAAGAGCAGTGAGTGAGGGGTTCAGGTTATAAGGCTGAGATAAGATACACATACATATGTAGATTGACATATCGCACCTTACACCATAAGAGGATCTGCGGTGGAAGTGGTCTCCAGCTACAAGTACTTGGGTGTACACATGAATGACAACCTCAGCTGGAGCAACAACACCACCAGCCTGATCAAGAAAGCTCATCAGAGACTCTACTTCCTCAGACGGCTGAGGCGAGCTGGTCTGGGAAGCTCAGTCCTCACCTCCTTCTACAGGTGTGCAGTGGAGAGCATCCTGTGCTCGAGCATCAATGTGTGGCATGGAGGCTGCACAGTTGCAGAAAGAAAAGCTTTGCAGAGAGTGGTGAAGGCTGCACAGAAATCTGTTGGAATCAGTCTCCCCACCATCACAGACATCTACACCTCCAGATGCAGGAAGAGGGCCACCTGCATCATGAAGGACCCCACCCACCCAGCACACACACTTTTTGCCCCACTCCCCTCAGGAAGGAGGTTAAGGAGCATTAAGTGTAGAACCACTAGACTGAGGAACAGCTTCTACCCTGAGGCTGTTAGACTCATGAATCTCTAACTAGAATAATCACTGTGAAAAACCATATCATGTTGCTGCTGATCTGTTTCATGTTGCTGCTGATCTGTTTCAATGTTGATGTGTTCATGCGTGCACATCTGCTCACAGACTCATGTTCATGTTTGTGCTGATGTTCAATGTTTTATGTTATGAGTGCTTAGTGTATATTTAGTTGATGTTTTTCTTAGTTCATATCTTAGATGTTATTACTGTTTTTCTTATACATTTTATTGTTGGATGTAACTGGGACCCTGTGTACATAATTTCGCTCCACCACATGTACCACATGAGGTGCGAATGACAATAAAGAAACTCTGACTCTGACTCTGATAACAGTACGGGTTTCTTAAGGTCTTTGTTCCTCTAATTCACAGACGAGGCCCCTCTGTTCCCATCAGGTGTGAAAACTGGCTGGGAATCAGTCTTAAAGTTGCATTATAGGTTTTAGAAAGTGGAAATCTGAGGCCTCCTCCTCTGTTGAGACATTTTTTTCTCTTTTTACATAAATTGCCTCCTTCACCCCCCTCTCAAACCATCTGTGTTCTCAGTCCAAAATGTGCACATGTTGGTCCTCAAAAGAGTGTCCCTTATCTGTGAGGTGGAGGTGATCAGCAGAATCTTGTCCTAAGGACTTGGCTCTCCTGTGTTGAGCCATGCGTCTGTGAAGAGGCTGTTTAGTTTCTCCAGTGTAGAGGTCGGAACAGTCCTCGCTGCACTGGACCGCATACACTACACCACTCTGTTTGTGTATGGGTGTTCTGTCCTTAGGGTGGACCAGTCTCTGTCTGAGAGTCCTGCTGGGTTTGAAATGTACTGGGATGTTGTGTTTGTTGAAGATCCTTCTGAATTTCTCTGATACTCCAGCAACATAAGGTTGTTTTTTCATCTGTTGTTCTCTTTTTTCTATTTATTACTGTGTTTTGTAGATTTCCTCGCTGACTTGACAAAAGCCCAGTTAGGATATCCACATGTTTGAAGAACTTCTTGGATGTGTTTCTGTTCCTTTTCCTTACCCTTTGTCTTTGTGGGGACGCGCTCGGCCCATTGCTGTAAAGTTCTGATGACAGAGAGTTTGTGTTTCAGTGGATGTTGGGAGTCGAACAGAAGGTGTGATTTGTCAATCTACATATGTGTGTGTATCTTATCTCAGCCTTATAACCTGAATCTCTCACTCACTGCTCTTTGAATTGATAAAGCTCCCCAGATGAGGAGCAAAACGTCTTTTACAAATAAAGTCTAGTTGTTTTTGTATTGAACATTTTTGAATTTATCATGTCCTGGATGACTGAGAATCTTCACCAGCATATTACTTGGATGTTCAGTTTTAGCACAGATACTCTCATCCAGGCAAAGCTTCCCAGCTGCACATGCTTTGTGATCTGTATTCTCTTCGTCTTCAGTTTAAATGCAGATTTTCAAGGATATTCATTTAATAATTAGTTTTATATTTTACTGAACTCTGAGATATTTCAGTCATTGGGAGGTGCAGTCTGCCTTATCATCTCTTAAAACTTTGCTTGTTGGCCTCGATCTATACTCATGAGTGAAATATATATTTCTACCTTCTTCTCTATATTGAGCAAGATAATTAGATTTATGCGTACATGTTGCCTGAATAGGAACCTCCGGAGAAGGGTTTAATTGCTCCTCTCAGCAGTTGAATGATTCATTAGGCCATATTAAAGTCGTGGGGCAGTGTGGACTATTTCGTTTTCATCCCCTGGAGTACCTCATGATATGATGACTCATCATCTCATTGCTTACACTGGTTTGTCTTCCTGTCTTCCCACCTCTGACAGATGTAAGAGCATTATGAATGTGGCACGTGCAAAACTGGGCCTGATCAAGCCTGAGGAGATCAACATGGATGAATACGAGGTGAGAAGCAACAATATCCCACTTCTATTTACTGTAAACGGCACCATTTGTTGCCTCTAATATAGTTTTACATAATAAAGTCTTTGCTGTAACTTGAAAAATTAGTCATGTATCTAAGTATTTATCCAAGTAGCTATTTACTTGCCTACCTACTTACCTACAAACCTGCCTACTTGTCTACTTTCTTACTACCTACCTAATTACCTCTCCTGCTTACCAAAATACATACATATGCACGTGCATACTTATTACAGCTATTTTTATGGTCTTGCTCATCATATGTTGTGCTCCTCTGTGGCAGATGTGGCATCAGGACTACAGGAATTTCCGTGAGATGACTATCTTCATGGTGACTGGTTTGGAGCTCTTTCACAAGGCAAAGTATGACGACATGCTTCCAGACTACCTCTTATTGTCTAATGCTGGAAACCATGAATTCAGCCCCCCCCCCCCCCCATTTCTGTTTAAAAGTTGAATGTTGTACCCCATGTCATCCTGCAGGGGTCCCCAGCTGACAGAGAGTGCAGCTGCTCACATGGTTGTGCAGTGGGGTCACTGAGTTCTTTAGTTTTTTGGACTAGTTTACTCTCTAAAGTTCTCTGTGTTTCTTTGATACAGCTTAATCTGATTGGAATATTTGTTTATCTCTTCCCTTCCAGTTATGTGGAGGCCCTGATCTATCTCATTTACTCATACCAGTACAACAAGGAGCTTTTGTTGAAAGGACTGTACAGAGGGCACAGCGAGAAGCTTCTGGGTTATTATCGCAGAGAGTGTTTGCTGGTGAGACTTTTCACATTTTTAAAGTGCGTTTTACAAAGAGGGCATTATCTGTTTTAGAATGGAGGTCTTTGCGTTCAGTAGTCCTCTGTGATCTCTGTCTCTTCTTTGTCACTCCCTTCCCTCTGTATCGAACTTCCTTTGCTGCAGTGACTCAGCAGATCTAACAAAGCCAGACACTTCCCTTCAGTTCTGAGCTCAGTTCTGATAATCAGATTGCTTTTTCTGAGATGTTGCTTTGGCTTTTTTGCAGCCCATAAAATTGATTCCACTGATTTTTTTTTTGCCTTATACTGACTATGTAAACCCTTTCAGCATCATGGCACGATTTTTTTTTTTTTTTCTTCACAAAGCAGGATCTGCTCTGATCCATCCCATACCGGTCTTGAACAGCCTACTCACCACTGCACTCAGTAACCTTACACCAGCATTGTACTCATAATGTAATCATTGCAGTGGGAATAGGAAGCAGGAGGGCCAGCAAGTGTAAACACATTTTCATGAGACACCAGCATGTCCTCAGCTAACCTCACAAACCTCTGCTGTGCATGCACTGATGGCTCATCTCAGATCTCTGGCCAGAGCCTCTGGCTTCGTCTATGCAGCTGTTTACCTCCAGCTTTTGGTGTAAATGAAAACATTACAGACACTGACACAGTTAATGGAACTAGAAAATTTGCAAATGCAGCATTGCAGTCCTTTGTTCCAGCTGGCTTTTAAAAACCAAGGCGCTCCACAGGGAGAAGGTCAACGAGTTTGTCTGTGACGGCAGGGAGGGTTATGGGCCAGAAAGTGGGAATAAAATGTTCTAAACACAATCGTGACTTTAGTCCCATAACTAATAGAAGAAAGTAAACAACTTATCTAAAAAGAGATGAAAATATCAACATGGTTGCACATGTTCTTTGGATGGAGAAGATGTTTCCTTAACATAATGAAATCAAATGGTGAGGTTAGTAAACAGTAGAGTTTGCTTATTGTTTATAAATTATTCAAATTTAAGACATAAGTTTCAAAGCCTGGACTTCCTGTTCTGTAAAAGCCACTTATGGTTAGTTAGAGGGTTGTAGTTGCCATATATTTTTGTTGCCTACCCTCGTCTTTTGCCGGCAGGCGATAATATTTTTGCCTGTGTCTCTCTCTTACCAAAATATCTCATAAGCCACTGAAAAAAAAATTGATGTATATCTTAATCTCATTAATTTTTAGATTAAAATCAAGATGGCCACAGCTACATAATTGTAAAAGACACACAAATGGCTATACCATACCATACCATACCACTTTATTTATAGAGCACTTAAAACAGCAACAAGGCCAACCAAAGTGCTGTACAAAAGAACAACAGGTAACACACAAAGCAAAATACAAAATGAGGTAAATCAGAATATAGACATAAAAACGATGCAGATAATGACGACAAACCAGTGTGGAGCATACAGGATCAAAACACAGATCATCTGGTGTTGAAAGATACTGAATAGTAGTGAGTTTTTAAACGGGATTTGAAAACCAAGAGGGAGGGGGCCTGTCTGACAAGCAGAGGTAACTCGTTCCAGAGTCTTGGTCCTGCTACAGAGAAGGTCCTGTCACCTCTGCGCTTAAGACGAGTTCCTAATGGCTATAGCTCAGTCATTTTTACAGAAATTTGTCTAAAGTTTTGTGTGGTAGTAGCTGACACTGATCCCTAACAAACTCCGAGCACTAACAGATCACACAAGAGCCTTGTTGACTTTTTTACCATAAACTATTAGGAATCAAACCTATCTGTTAGCACAACAAGGAATGAACCACTGAACAATTAATTACACTTTGAGGAAATTATCATTTTGATGTACAGTATATCATCAATCACATAACTTCAAGATGGGCTGCCTTACAAAACACAAAAACAGCTGAACTACAGCCACTTTAACAGATACTGAGCTCAAATTTGGTTTGTTAGTAACTAACAGTCATTCACAGCACATACTTGTAATTGATTCTCATTGTGTGAGATCTTTGCCTAAAACTTTAGTACTACCTGTTGTACACATTCCTGGTTGTTAGCTATATGTTCCATGAACCGCTGGACGAATTGATTAAACCTTCTAGAAATAATAACTGAGTGTACAATTACAATTGAGTAACTTTTGAAATCAATCCATTTTAAGATGGCTGCCAAAACTAATCCATATCAGCCAGCACAAGATGGCAATAACTCAGTTGCTTTTACAGATTGAGCTACTGTATAATGTTTATGTGGTAGTAGTGGTAGTAGCTGAGAGTCGTTCACAACACATACTCTGATTATGACATCTGGTAATATTGCATGAGATTGTGCAGAGCATTATTTTTAGTTTAACCACAGCAGCTAAAAATCAAAAGTTTGAAAATTACCTGACAAAGTGCTTTGTTTTGGGTTCAAACATTTTTTATTTGAGTGTTACAAGAACTGACTGGAACATGATTGACGATTATTTGTCTTTTTTTTTTGCCCCACAGAAACTAAATGAGCAAGCAGCTGCCATGTTTGAGCTGGGAGAGGAGCCAGAGGTGACCTCAGGACTCAGCATAATGAATGAGCTGGTGGTACCCTGCATCCCTCTGCTGCTGGCTAATGACATGGAGAAGGATTTGCTTGCAGTGGAGGACATGAGGAACCGCTGGTGCTCCTACCTGGGTCAAGAGATGGAATGTGAGTCCTTAAGGGAGTCTCAGCCTATTAAGTATTTCTGGAAAGTTTAGGGATAAGGTTAGCAGTACACTTTCCAGTCCATCCTGCCAAAGAAGAGCATAATCAGACCACTCCTCAGGTCTCGCATTCATATGGCTTCCAAGTTAGGCAGTCATTAAACTCAGATTGACATTTGCCATCTCCACCTCATTGCATTCAGTTTTATTCACAATTTGTTTAGTGTCCCAACTTTTTTGGAATCCAGTTTGTATACATGTGTGTGTTTATCTGTGCGTGTGCATATATAAACACATGTGTATATATATATGGATACACATATATGTATACACATATATATATATATATATATATATATATATATATATATATTTATATATATATATATATATATATATATATATACACACATATACAAACCGGATTCCAAAAAAGTTGGGACACTAAACAAATTGTGAATAAAAACTGGATGCAATGATGTGGAGATGGCAAATGTCAATATTTTATTCGTAATATAACATAGATGACAGATCAAAAGTTTAATCTGAGTAAATGTAACATTTTAAAGGAAAAATATGTTGATTCAAAATTTCACAGTGTCAACAAATCCCAAAAAAGTTGGGACAAGTAGCAATAAGTGGCTGGAAAAAGGAAATTGAGCATATAACGAACAGCTGGAAGACCAATTAACACTAATTAGGTCAATTGACAACATGATTGGGTATAAAAAGAGCTTCTCAGAGTGTCAGTGTCTCTCAGAAGCCAAGATGGTAAGAGGATCACCAAATCCACTACTGTTGCCCAGAAAGATAGTGCAGCAATACCAGAATGGTGTTACCCAGCGTAAAATAGCAAAGACTTTTAAGTTATCATCATCAACCGTGCATAACATCATCAAAAGATTCAGAGAATCTGGAACAATTGCTGTGCGTAAGGGTCAAGGCCGTAAAACTCTACTGGATGCTCATGATCTCCGGGCCCTTAAACGTCACTGCACCTCAAACAGGAATGCCACTGTCAAGGAAATAACAGACTGGGCTCAGGAATACTTCCAGAAAGCATTGTCAGTGAACACAATCCACCGTGCCATCCGCCGTTGCCAGCTGAAACTCTACAGTGCAAAGAGGAAGCCATTTCTAAGCAAGCTCCACAAGCTCAGACGTTTGCACTGGGCCAGGGGTCATTTAAAATGGAGTGTGGCAAAATGGAAGACTGTTCTGTGGTCAGAGGAGTCACGATTTGAAGTTCTTTATGGAACACTGGGACGCCATGTCATCCGGACCAGAGAGGACAAGGATAGCCCAAGTTGTTATCAACGCTCCGTTCAGAAGCCTGCATCACTGATGGTATGGGGTTGCATGAGCGCTTGTGGCATGGGCAGCTTGCATGTCTGGAAAGGCACCATTAATGCAGAGAACTATGTTCAGGTTCTAGAACAACATATGCTCCCATCTAGACGTCATCTCTTCCAGGGAAGACCCTGCAATTTTCAACACGATAATGCCAGACCACATTTTGCAGCAATCACAACATCATGGCTACGTAGGAGAAGGATCCGGGTACTGAAATGGCCAGCCTGCAGTCTAGATCTTTCACCTATAGAGAACATTTGGTGCATCATAAAGAGGAAGGTGCCACAAAGAAGGCCCAAGACGATTGAACAGTTAGAGGCCTGTATTAGACATGAATGGGAGAGCATTCCTATTTCTAAACTGGAGAAACTGGTCTCCTTGTTATAATGTGGAGTAACCCAGGTGAACAGACTGAGAGGAGAACAGAACCAGACTCAACTGTAATTGAAAATGTTTATTTACAGTGAAAAATAAACTATTTACAAGCAGGTTCAGGGTCTGTGAAGACAGAGGAGGAGGATTATTCATGGACGAGGATTTGGTCCAACAACTGAATGTCTTGGGTTCTTTGTAAGGCTTACAGTTCAGGTAGTTTATATGGCTGTTGGGTGGCTGAGGGTTTTGCTCCTTCCAGGATGATGGGAAGGCAGACTGCAAGGGCAAGTGGTGGAAGGCGAATTCAGGCAGCTGAGCACCAGGAAGCACAGGTAAGTATCTCCGTAGGATCTTCTCCAATACTTCGAATTACAGGACAGGATCCGGTACATCCAGACTCTGAAAACGTGGACACAAAACAAGGTAAGTCTTTCTAAATCTTTAAGCACTGTACAGGGCTGGAGGCATATGTACCGGCAGGTCAAACAATGCTCCAGCACTGACTGGAGCTCCACTGGAGCCTTAAGTACTCCTGGCATGAATTAAGGAAACTGGCCTCAGCTGCCGCTGCTCATCAGCGCCGCCCCTGCCTTCAGGAACCTGGAGGAAGGAAAATATCAAAACCCTACACTCCTCTGTCCCCAGACGTCTGTTGAGTGTTGTAAGAAGAAGGGGGGATGCCACACAGTGGTAAAAATGGACTTGTCCCAACTTTTTGGGGATTTGTTGACGCCATGAAATTTGGAACAACAGATTTTTCACTTAAAATGAAACATTCTCTCAGTTTAAACTTTTGATCTGTGATTTGTGTTCTATTCTGAATAAAATATTAGATGTTGGCACCTCCACATCATTGCATTCAGTTTTTATTCACAATTTGTTTAGTGTCCCAACTTTTTTGGAATCCGGTTTGTACTTTGAATGCAACATTCAGTTCATGAAGTCATTCTCCTGTGGTTTACCTGGAAAACATTAAAACATTGACTCATCTCCACCATCACGTTTTTATTTAATAATAATGTCACAATTTATGCTGCAGTCTTTGACTAAGGATCTATAACTTGAACTAAATTAACCACGTCAGTCTCTCAGAAAAAAAAGGTTAAATATTTTCTAGTTGAGTTTAGGAACTGGAATTACCATAAAAAAATTAAAATGATCAACTTTCACAATTTAAGCTGTAATGGATATTTTAAAATGTTGAATTAAACCGAAATAGACCCGTTTGGCAGAGCAGCTGCAGTTAAAATGCAACCAACAAGTTAACATGTTTCATTAACTACAACTGCAACATGAAGTATTAATGTTGATAAACTGTGGTGCAGAATAGTCAGATAACGCTTCACAATGGAAAAATAGTGTCGTATTTTCATGAACTTACTGTAGAAAACACGTCTGAAACACAGAGCATGAACTAGGTTCAATGCTGGAACTGCTGCTGTTTGGAACTATGAGGCTCCATGACCCACGTGACTTCCACATTACATTCTTTCTATGGAAGTCTATGGCAGTGTCACAACTCTCTCTTTACAGGACTCTGGATATGCGCATATCTTTGTTGACTCGCAGTGGGAGAGAACTGTAAATTCCTGATAGGTGTTAAAATGACTCGGTAGCTGCTATAAAGCAGAGAGGTTTGGTGTTCTCCAGGAAATTAACTGTTTTAGAGTGGCAAGGTATGAAGTTGTCTTATCATTTAAAAACACGGAGACAGATATCCAGTTTAGGGTGATTTATTTGCTGTGTTTCTTCTGGTATTTAGACGCAGCAGTAAACCAGTAAAGCACAAACAAGCTTGAACAACAAGGGACCGTCCATGTCAAGAGAGAAAAAAAACTCCAACTGAGCTCTGCACTTTACAAGAGTGATACGTTCACTAGTGTTGGAAGAGCCACGGTGTATTCAAGAGCATAGGAACTATTAAATTCAGAAAGAAACAAGCCATAACCAAAAACAACAATGTGAGCTTTCTAACAGCTTTGTTAATAAATGTTGAATGAATATACTTCATTAGAATCAGATGTTTTAAAGAGCAAGTCAGCCTTTCATTTGCTCTCAATTTCATTTGCTCTCATTTTCATTTGCTCTCAATTTCATTTGCTCTCATTTTCATTTGCTCTCATTTTCATTTGCTCTCAATTTCATTTGCTCTCAATTTCATTTGCTCTCAATTTCATTTGCTCTCATTTTCATTTGCTCTGTATGTTTTCTGTTTAAATTGAAAGTGCACAGCTGTATTTTTGGTTTTGTTCTGCAGGAAAAAACTATTTAATTTTTGAGACATTTATTTTGTACAGTATACATACTTTTTATTATTAAAGGTGCCTGTGTGACAAGTGGGATTTGGGACAAAGCTTTGACTCTGAAATATATTTTTTTTATTATTTTATGGAAAGATAAAACATTGAGAAATATATGGTATATCGCCATTCATCTTAAAATATGGAGATAATAATTCTGGTCCATGTCGCCCAGCCCTAGTGCCTGCACAAGTTTTTCAGTGTGGTGTATCAGAGCCACTGGAGTGTTGCTAACATGTTTCATTTTAGTTGTATTCTGATTAGCAGCTCACAACAAGAAGTTTGTAAAATGTATTTTTGCTCCAACACACATTCAGAACACACTCCTAAAAATGGTTTTGTTGGTGGAAAGAGTTTGGATGAATCGTCTTTCATCAGTGGGTTTCATTTTGAGTCCTCAGAGAGCTACTGTTCAGGAAAAACAGTGTTGTTACCCAGAGCCTGGTTGGCTTTAGATGTGGAACATTCTTTCTACCTACTTGTGCTATCACTCCAGAAATGTTTAATCTTGTGATTTCATTGTTTAGAAATTCTCCAGTTTCTCACGGTCTATGCATGTTTTCTTCCTGCTGGCAGCAAATCTGCAAGAGAAGCTGACGGACTTCCTGCCCAGGTTACTGGACTGCTCCACAGAGATCAAAAGCTTCCACGACCCCCCCAAACTGCCCAGCTACTCCACCCTGGAACTGTGCGAGCGATTCAGCTGCATCGTGGCTGCAATCAGCAGGGTGCCAGCTGAAGAAAGATGAGCTGTGAGGAGACGGCGTTCCTCATGGCAGGCCCGACTCCAGGACTTCTCTTTATGCTTGCCTTCCTCATGAGTCCAGGACTCACCTGCTCCTCGCTCTTACTCCTGTTACTGCTACTCTTTTGCTGCTGTAGATTTGATCATTGTGAATATTGTTTCACTCTTACACAAAACACAGTAGAGGACTGGGTTGGGAGGCTGGAGGGGGCAAGATAGACTGGGGGGGGGGGGGGGGGGTGGTGGTTGAACTGTGGCAATCACATTCTGCTTTAGCTTTAAAAATACATAGTTTACTTTTTTTTATATAGTTTATTGTTGTTGCTGTTTGATTCAAGCTTCCCCAGCTACGCTCACAGCCTGTTCTAACCCCCCATAACGCGCCCCCCCACACACATACACACACACACACACATTGCTTCTCTGCCACCAGTTTGGTACAGTATTACCATGTTTTATTTTTCTAAGTAAGAATGAGAGCCTTGAGGTTTGTCAGCGGCTCTGAGAATCTCGTATGGCTCTCGTATCTTTGTGAACTCTGCCGGAACGAGATGTTTTAAGTGCTGTGGTAGACGGCCATGGACTTCCTGTGGCCTGTTAATAAACTAAGAGAATAAAGTTTTATTTATGGCCCTTTTTAGGCCAAGTAAATCCTTGTTTTGCCTCGTGTCTATTTTCCCCTGACATAAAGGTCTCAGCATTAAACCTTGGTGTGTGTGACATTTGGCTAATAAATAAATCATGTTGTGTTTTAATGCTGCAGAAGTTGAGTAGAGACCAGAGCCACAAAGAAACTGTTCCTGCTGTCAGCGTCACTTTCTGTCGTTCTGCTTATTAAAAACGAACTTTCATTAATGTGCTAATACAAACTGTAAGTGACCTAAATGATCTGAAGACGAGGATTTCAGCACAACTTTGTTTTGCCTGGGTGTTTTATCTCTTTAATTTTTTATGGTTATTTCCAGGAACATAGATCACCAACATTTATTGTGTGAATGCCTGTAGGCATTCACACTATTGAGATCCACTTTTTCTTCCGTACGTTAAATTCAGCAAGTTAAGCTAATTTCAGCTGTTTTTGCAGCTGTTTTGTGCTCCTTTCAGCTTCATTTGGCTAACTTCAACATTTTTGTGCTGCTTCAAAACTTATTTATGCTCATTTATGCTTGTTCTGCTCCTTTCAATTTATTTCTGGATGTTTCAGCTATTTCTACTATTTCAGCTAGAATTTAGCTGTTGTCATGCTAATTTCATCTTTATCAGCTACATTTGAAACATTTACATTTTTGCAATCATTGAAAGTTTTGTCAGCCTAATTCAGCAAAAACAAGTTCCCCGACATCCTTCTAGTAATATCAGAATCAGAATAAACTTTATTGGAATTGCACCGAGGTACAACACGAATATGTACGTACAGTCGTCTGAAAGATGGGCGGAGTGCACGAAGCTGCAACTACAGGAGAGCGCGGCCATTTTATCCTTATCAGATAATATTCTTAGATAGGAAAAGAGGGAGAAACATGAGGGTAGATAGTGGTATTACAAAAAAAGATCTTTCACATCTTGTCCATCAGGACACGATTTGAGACTTCAAAAAACTCTACCAGCAGCTCAATTAAAACATGATCGCATTTGCATTTGACATCAAGGTGTTGAGATTTGTCCATGAGCTTTTTTTTTCAGATCAGCCTCAGTTTCTGAGGATGTTGTTTTCAGCCAGCAGTTCTGATAAGCCTGCACAGAAAGTTCTGGGGCGGGGGCAGGAGAAATTTGATAGTCAGCCCGTCTCCGAGGCCGTTGGGAGTCAGATTAGATAAGCTTAATATTTGTTTTTCTTCAGGCAGACAGATTTTTTTCTTCAGCCTTGAGTCCATCTGGGCGTTCTGGTTCCAAAAAAGCCTAATTGTGGAATTAAGTTTCACTGATCCATGGTATGAGTCTCCTTCAAGGTCGAACCCACCACGCTGACGAGTCCCAGAAGCCGCAGGTGGTCTGCGATTCTCAATCGCCTCCACTTTACGGTTAAGCTCGTAGACCAGACGATTGAAAGTTCCCACAGCGAGGACCAGACCTTCACACTGACTCGGGAGCTTTTCCATGGCTAAAACTGCTCCCGCTGTCTTCTTCAAAAGTCGATAAAACAGAGTCCCGCCGATGCCAAAAAGCAGAGTCCCTGCTATCATAAGTCCAAATATGTAAACATCTTCAACATCTTCTTGAGACAGAACTGTAATGCACATCGATTGCCACACTCCCCACGAATCCATGACGTACCCCACAGCGTGAGTCTCAGCTGGACATGCCGGTTCCCCAGGACCTTGTCGCTTTGATGAAAAAATCTTATCAATAGAGTTGAACACCCACGATACCAAATCCATAGTCTTCTTAATTTATGTTCGGGAGATGAGACCCAAACGCTTCAGACAGACAGAGAGCAGAGAAGGAGGAAGGGGAAAAAATGGGGGAGGAGAAAACAGAAGCTGCCACCTCGATCAGAGCCTGGGAGGAAAAAAAAAACATTAGGCTTATTTCTGCTTGTTTTAGCTACTATTCAGCTGTAATGAGCAAATTTCAGCTTTTCTCAAATAATTTCAACTTTATTGTGCTACTTTATGCCTATTTCAGCCTTAATGGGGACAATTAAGCTCCCTCTACTTCCTTTTGGAAATTTAAGCTTTTTTCTACATTTCTTTAGCTACTATTCAGCTGTTTTGAAGGACAACTAGGATATCCTGATGCATGCTCAATAATCCAGGTAGAAAAATCTAAAGTTAAGTCTGGGCCTCTGGACATTCAAAAAACAAAACAAAAAAAAAATGTAGAAACGTTTCGTCTTTCATCTGAGAGACTTCCTCAGTCTGAGGTGCTGTATTCAGCTCAGTCTCTTAAATAGCACCTTCTCAGAGTGGATCAACCAGTTTTGCTGCTGACAACCAGAACCAGCTGATCACATGCTCAAGAAGGACCATCAGCCTAACAATGGATCATTAGCACACTGATGGCTGTTTACTATTCACAGAGGGCTGAGTGATACTAGCAATAACAGCATTGTAAGAGGGGGACAGTTGAACCCGGAGGCCTCCACCCCTGTTTAACGATGGACGATTTCTTTTCACTGAGATGGCCTCCTTTACTCCTCTCTCAAACCATCGTTCCTCTCTGTCCAGGATGTGAACATCTTCATCCCTGAAAGAGTGACCGCTGGCCTGGAGATGAGTGTAGACCGCAGAGTCCTGGCCTGATGATGTTGATCTTCTGTGCTGGGCCATCCTTTTGGCCAGTGGCTGTTTTGTTTCCCCGATGTAAGACTGATCACCCTCCTGACACTGAACAACATACACAACATTACTCTGTTTGTGCCAGGGGACTGGATCTTTGGGATGAACCAGTCTTTAATGTATTTTGGGGTTTAAAAGCCACTGGGACGTTATGTTTAGAAAATAAACGTCTCAGTTTCTCTGATACTCCCTCAACATATGGAATGACCACTGGTCTGGGTCTGGGTTCCTCCTTTTCACCTG